CAGGCTGGCTGGAAAACAATTTTACATGCATCTAAATGATGTCATCTTGCCCCACAACCAAGGTTCAAAATATCACATAACCATGGGAAAAGAGGGAACTCAGAGAAATGCATGCCAAGAAAAAAGCTGTCCTTTTAAAATATTTTAGAGCCCATGTGGTTTTAGGTGGGAACATGGCTTCAGTCCTGCTCACTCCAACACTTGGACAAGTCTTTTTACTGCTCCTTAAAAAGCTGGCACCAAATTCATGTAAAATGCTAACACAGTGGCAGGCATCGAATAAGTCCCACTAAATGTTGACCATGATTATTTCCTGGTCCTTCCAATCACCTTTTCATATTAATATTTCATCTCTCTAACCACATGATGTGTTCTCTGAAAACAGGGATGGTCTGTTCTCCACACAGGGACTGACACATGTGGGGCTCGCAGGACATGTTCCAGAAACTTCTGATCAGGAAGGTGAGGCTGTTAGAGCCTTCCACCATCCTGGCCTGGAAATAGGGCAGCCCTAAGCATCAATTCAGTATGAGGGGAGGAGCTGTCTGGTTAGCTCAGTTGCTTAGAGCGCAGCCTTATAACCCCAAGGTCATGGGTTTGTGATCCCCATACCCACCAGCTGAAAAAATAAAATAAAACAACAGTATGAGGTGAGAAACAGTCCTTCCCACCCCCAGACACGAGATGGGGCTCGAGGCAGGTGGGGGAATGGAGAGGGTAAGCATGGGAGACATGGCTCCAGAACAGAACTGGTGCCACCCGGTGCTGGCTTGTGGGGCCCACTGTTCTGGAGTGACTTCATCTGGGCTGTTTTAAATTCCCTGGCAGGCAGCTGGGACTGAGTGCAGTTTCCCCGCTCCCTCTACAGAAAGAATGCTCAGAGCTTTAATTATACCTTCTCTCTAGATCTGTTGGGGGCCCCTAATTATGCTCTTCACAGGGCAGCTGCTGCTAGATTATTTTCCAAACACCTCCGAAACTTTCAAAGCCAAAGCCTCCATGGGCTCTAGGTGACTCAAGGGACAGCAAAATGGGCCGGTGGGACCAACAGCTGACCAAAGGCCCCCATGAAAGGGTCTAGAAGGGACACCGTGTCCAACTGCCTCCAAGTGGTGTCCCCAGAGCTCTTCTCAGCTGGGAATCTCAAGGGACAGGGTGGCAGGAGGAGGGAGCAGCTCCGGTTTTGCCCCTTGCATGCTGAGAGGCTGTCACTGAGAATGGAGGGTGTGTGGGCTTCATGTCTTCCCAGAGCAGCGGTGCCTTGCAGCCTCACACGGGCGCCTGGCCCCTGCTTGCCCACATCCCCCACAGTCAGGCAGCGACCATGCGTGTGCCACACGTGTGCCTGCTATCCCCCCACTCCTGCCTCCCTCAGCCTGGAGATGGGCCTGCCCTGCCCGGGAAGGCCAGGTCTGATTGCTGAGGATGTGCCCCCTCTACGTCCAAATGAAGGTGAACTTATCCTCACTCAGCAGACGCAGGCAGAAGGGCCACTGGAGGATTTCTCTTGAACCAATATACTTAGTGATTTATGAGCCCTTCTGATAAAATTGAGTGTCCACTCCTGGGTATTCTTTAAAGATTTTTTTTCCCTAAGAAAATCCTGCCTTTCACCCCATCCACTCAACTGAAACTCCTCTTTTGAATTCAGATCACCAGTGTCATGTTGTGGACCCCAGAGCCTCTCCCACTCAGACACCCAGGGCTCATCTCAGCTGAAGCAGGAGCCCCTGGCCCTTGTGTCTGCCCCCAACCCCAGAATGGAGCCCCCATTTGTCCCCACTTCCCCTTCCCCAGGGCTTCTCTTACTCCAGGCTTGGCAGAAGACAACGCAACTTCCCAAACTCTTCTGTGCACTGTGGCTTCTGAAACACATCAATAAATATCCTTTATGTTTTTTAAAGAGCTTAAGGGACAAGTAACCAAAGGGAAACAGCTAGTGGTTAACAAAATTCAGCAGGTTCCTGGTTTCATTCAAAGGTAAGGAAGAGCAGGGCAGGAACTTTCTTAGCTCCTGTCATAGCCTGGTACGTAATTCTGGCCCCACAGCAGCCTACCCATGCGAACGTCTTTCTTCTACTTTCAGGGTAGGTGTTTCAGAAGGAAGCTGTCTTAGTCTGTTTCTGTTGCTTATAACAAAAATACTTGGAACTGGGTAATTTTTAAGAAAACAAAATTTACTGCTTACAGTTTTGGAGGCTGGGAAGCCCAAAGTCCAGGAAACATGTCTGGTGAGGGTCTTGATGGTGGTGACAGTGACCCAGGGGTCTCACATGGCAGAAAATGGCAGAGCAGAGGAAGACTAAACTCTCATGCGCTCTTCTTTTCAAGCCCTTAGAACCACACCCCTCGCCACCATTATTCATCCATTCACTGCAGCACGGTCCTACAATCTAATCACCTCTCCAAGGCCCCACCTTTCAATGACCATAATAGGATTCCCCACCTTCAACAGTTACAGTGGGAATTAAGCTTCTAATATATGAAATTTGGGGGATGCAATTCAATCAATCCACAGCATCCTGTCCCTGGTCCCCAAAGTTCATGTCCTTCTCACAGGTAAATACAGAAGCCCCTCCGTGTCCCCACTTTTCTCCAGCCCTAGACTCCACAGAGAGATAGAAGTCAGTTCCAGAACATTTCATTCCATAAAACTGCTGACTTACATATTAGAGAAATCTCCCCTGAAGCCACTCCCTTCTGGGTACTCTTTGCTTTAGTCTTCCCCTGACCATCTCATCCTCTGATGGAAAATGAAATCAGACCACTCTTTATTTATAACCCACCTACCCAGAAGTGAACTTCCACAGACAGTTTGGCTTGTCTCTGTAATTTTTAGACTCATGCTTAAACTCTTAACAAACTACTGTACACACAACACAGAGGAGTCTCAGGTGCATGGGCTAAATGAAGGAATTCAGACTTAAAGGGGCTACATGCTGTGATTCCACTTATGTGACATTCTGTACAAGTAAAACTCGAGGGACAGAAAACAGTGGTTGCTAGGGGCTGGCTGGGGGTCACCAGAAGGGGGCATGAGATGTTGGAATTGTTATCTATCTTGATTGTGATGGTGGTGACATGATTCTATGCTTCTGTCAAAACTCATAGAACTGCACACCAAAAAGGGCGAATTTTACTCTATGTAAATTATACCTCAACAAACCTGACTTTTTTAAAAATTAAACTGCTATGATAATTACATTGGCCAGTCCTTTTTGGAACTAGACAAGGCTTAAGTAGCTGTCAATGTTCATGAACTCCTCACCCACCTTTGAAAGTGGGATTTGGAGATTTCCATAAACTTAAATATATCACAGAAGAGGATTGTGGTTCCTGCAGAAGGTACCTGATTTCAAAGGGGGTTTAGACAATGTGAGATGTTCCTTACTCTTTCCGTCTTTCATTCATTGCTTTGACAATGTGTATCACACACTTCCTAGGAGGCATGAGGCTGGGCAGCACTGAAGCAGCTGCTAGACCAAGATACAGCTGCTGCGCATGAGGGGCACATAGTCTAGTGGATTTGGAAGGGTTGGGTGGGGAGGAGGGGCTGCAGAGAAGAAATGGTAAGAAAACAGGGAAGTTTCTGAGCATGTTAGTTAGGTAGGGTAATCGGTACAAGGACATACATCCGTAAAATGTACACATGCAAATGCCCAAAGGAGACAAAAAGAGGGGTACATTCTAAAAATGGTAAGGAGTTCATTTTGATTAGAACATTGAGGCCAGGTTATGGGTTTGCTCTAGTCATTTCCAGCTAAGTGGTGTTTTCATCTTTCTCTCCTTCATTGCATGAGTTTGAGGCCTTACTCTGAAGAAATATGTGCCACGGAGGGGAGAAAACTGCTGTAGTAATTTGGGGCTCTCAGAAGGTTTTAAACACTTAATAAACCTTTGCTCAACAACTGAAGAGATTTCAGATGAATTAACCAAAAGCTCTTGGTTACTCGGGCTTCCCAATTTTTTTCTGCTTTAACCTGGGTCCGTGATACTTTTTACATGAGTAAAAAGCAAAATTTGGATGCTATACTAGGAATTACAATTGCAAATAACAAGATCATCCCTAGAATCTCCCATTGGATCTCCTTGGTCTTAAATGTCTCACCTTAAACCCCAAATGGGTCTATTTTCTCACATTAGAGAGAAAGCTCAAGGGAATCCAAATGGGCATTTCCCAGATTTCATTGTTGGGCCAGCTTTCTGATTTACATAGGCAACAATTTCTAAATTGCCTGGGTGTATTTTTCTATCTGTGCTAAAGCACCAATGTCATCGCCATATGCCCTAGGGAATGATTCCATCCCAGACCACAAATCATCGAGCCGTGGCCAAAATCAGTGACATCATCTATCCCCCAAAAAGACACTATGCAGAATTCCCAGAATCCTCTGGGCCAACAAAAGAAAGCGATGTCCTCTCTGTCATTTAGGGTTGCTTCCACATGCCATTTCTGGCTTTATCTGTTCCTAGCAGAGGCCTGGTGTCTCATTTTGTAGCAGCATTAATTCTACTCTTCAGCACCAAAGCTAATGGCTTGATTTCAGATTTATGGCTATTTCCGAGATTCAGCCACTGGATAAATAAAATTCCAGTGTATCATTGTTACTTTGTCGATGGTGGTAATGAACTTGAGAATGTCTCCTATTTATTCAGCTTCTTACTAGATGAAGGCAGATTTGTTATGCATAGTTATATCAAGCTGGGGTGGAAAATCATTCTTCTAAAATATTGATTATCCTGGATCCCTTTCTACAAAGGAGAACCCTAAGGCCTCATAAGATTCTCCCACTGAAACCTTTGAGCCCCTCAAACCAGGCCCAGCCCCTCTAACCAGACCTCCGTTCACTAATGCTCCTTCAAGATCAATAGGAAAGGAGCAAGAATGAAAGGGACCTGGGAGGGACCCTGTTTCCATGGGAAGGTAAACTGGCAGAGGCATGAGAGGGAGGGTACCTGCTAATGACTGATCAGTGGGACTGGGGATTTTTGTCTTTCAGGGTTATCTGTCAGAAGGGTTGGTAACGAAGTGGTACCGCTCTCCACGGCTGCTCCTGTCTCCCAACAACTACACCAAAGCCATTGACATGTGGGCGGCCGGCTGCATCCTGGCCGAGATGCTCACGGGGAGAATGCTATTTGCTGGTGAGTTGCTAACTATGCCACCTTCCTTCTCTTCTGACATCACTCTATGAGAAGGGAAAACCGAATGCAAAATACATGCTAATCACAAAACATGCTAATCTTTTGCTAAAATTACTTCTGTGGCTCTTACAGTATTATTTGGAGGCACCTTATAATTTTAGGCAAAAATACTGGAAAAGATAAAAATAGCCCTCTGAGCACAAAATTTTTGCAGTCAAGTAACCACTTTGCTACAATCTGAATTTCTATGTCTCCCTGAAATTCATATGTTGTAATCTTAACCCCCAATGTGATGATATTAAGAGATAGAGCCTTTGGGAAGTGATTAGGTCATGAGGATAGAGATCTCATGAATGGGATTAGTGTCCTTACAAAAGAGACCCAAGGGAGCTTGTTTGCTGTGCCATTATGTGAGGACACAGCAAGAGGAAGCATCTATGAGGAATGGGCCCCTCACCGGACACTGAATCTGCTGATACTTTGGACTTCCCAACCACCAGACTGTGAGAATTAAATGTCTGTTATTTATAAGCCACTAGTCTAGGCTATTTTGTTATAGTAGCCCGAATAAACTAAAACACACTTAGATTCAAACACGTTGAGATTGACCACTGAAAACACCCACCCTGCCTTTTCAGCCCCTTCCTCCTTTCTCTCTGCCATTGTGTTCCCTGTCCTGCAGCTACACCAAGTGACCCACTGCTTTAGAAATCCAGCATCACTTTTTGTTCACCTTCACACAAAGACCCCTTCTCTGCTTAGAAAACTGCTTCTGGACCTTCAAAACCTGGTTTGTGTTCTGTACTGTGATGTCTTCCTTAACTTTCCAGGGCTGAGTCACCCCTCTCCACGCTCCCATTGCACATACTCTTTCTCACTTGCTCTTTGCATGCTTGGAAGAGTATGTCTGAGTGTGAGCTAACAGTACAATACCCATCAAACGGAGAAAGTATCCTGAGGCCAAAGTATGAAGCAGGCAACTCCACACAATTTACAAGGAATTTATTATTATTATTATTATTATTGTCATTGGGTGAGTTACTTACAGGGATTGGGCAGAATATCAATCCTAGTGCTGGACAGCTGCTTTCTCCACAACTGGCGGCGGGGTGGGGGGGCAGAGAGGGAGAGGGGAAGGAGCTGAAGCTTACAAGGGACTTAGGGACAAAAGTGGAGCTATGCCAAAGAGAGAAAGGCTGCAGAAGTGGAAGATTCCCAGGCACCTCGCAGCCTCCTTTTGCTTATCCTTGGGGTTGCTGGTATCATTCCCTTTATCATGCACAAGCACAGAATACTGTTCCTTTCCCTTCCTCAGTTGCTAAGCAACCTGTCCAGGGAAAAGATTGAAACCAGAGCCCCAAAGGCCATGAGGAGGGAGTGAGTTCTGACCAGTATTCCTACAGAGTACTTGCTGTTTCACTTTCTCTCCTCGCTCCTCTGTTCACACCACCTTCATCCCCCTGAAGCTGCTCCCATCCAGACTGCTGTGTTCTTAACCCAGCAGAACTCATTTTAGCTCATTCTGTGGCACTGGTCAGCGATGATCATCCCTTCCTTCTTGAAACTCTCTGCTCCCCGGGCTGGCAGCCACCTCCTACCTCTCTGGCCAGTCCTCCTCAATTGCTTCTCACCCCATGCTTCTACTTCCTCTGCACCACGTCCTTCAGCCCTCCTCAAGTTTTTGTCCTTAGCCCTAAATACTGCTCTCACACACTCACAGAATGTTCACACACCCTCTCCACCTCAGGCTAACTTAGCAGAGGCTGGAAGCCCAGACATGCTCCAGACCATCACTGCTGGAGGATCACAGTGATGCCCACCCACTTGGCATCTTGTTCGGGCCCTAGAGTGGCAGTCAGAACCTGAGGTCCTGCCTCCTTGCCACCTGTCTTGTGGTATACTGAACAGCAAGCTGACAGAGTCCTCGCTGTTTTAAGGGAGGAAGCAGCCATTTGCCTGCTTCCCCCTTCTCCCTCCACTTGAGGTCTGACCTTTGTTTGAACCCAGGACTCTGAGAACTTTGTAAATGAGGAATTTATTCTCTTATTCTGCTGATAAGTAGTTAGCCATGAACCTTCAAGTGCCGTGGCAACAGAAAGTGTTCTATAAATAGCTTTGTACCAGACATAACTGGCTTAATCAGTACAATTTGTTATTTTTACTGGCTTATAAAAAGGAACCTAAAATAAACTAGGATGCTTCACAGGTCATCAGCTTGTGTAGTCCTCCTGACCCCATAAACGAGTTTCTTCAATTCTCCATTGTTTCCCGTTGGGTACCTGTCAGCAACGCTGTCCTCGGCCTGGATTCCAAACCCCCTAGTTCACTGGCCCTTCTCATACTCTGTGCTCCCACCTGACCTCTCTACCTGGTGTTCTCCTCCTTGCAGCCCTGCCCTGTGCCCCTGACACCTGTCTCAGGCCTTGGCCTCCTTAGCTCCCCCTGCTTCTCAGTTCAGGGTGTCCTTTCTCCCATTCCCTGCACACAGGACTGGGATAAAGCCTCAGCACCCTTCTTGCTCACCATTGCTTCTTTTCTATTAAAAAGAAAAAGAAAGTTAACTCATAGAAGTGGAGAGTACAATGTTGGTTATTAGGGGCTGGGAGTTGAGTGGGGATTGGGGAAATTTTGGTTGAAAGATAGAAAACTTCAGTCAGACAGGAGGAATATGTTCGAGAGTACTGTTCAAGAGATCAACATAGTCCCTGTTCTCACGTTGTTAATAACAACAATGTGATTATAGTTAATAACATTGTAATCTTGGAAATTGCTAAGAGTAGATCTTAAGTGTTCTCATCACAAAAAAAGATAGGTATGTAAGGTAATACATAAGTTAATTAGCTCAATTTAGCCATTCTACATATACATATTTCAAAACATTATATTTGAAATATTTATATGATACATACAATTTTTGTCAACTTATAAAATTAATTAATACAAAATTTATATTAAAAAACCCTTCTCTGTGGCACGTGCCAGCCAGATGGCCTCTCCTCCTCCCACCTATCCTCCCGCACAAACACCTGCTCATCCCCTGTCACTCCCTACACTGAGGATGTTGGCACCTATGTCACAGCTGCCCTCCCCACACTTAGTCCCACCACCATTCTAGGCTATGTGGCTGATGTGGCTAACTCGTTCAATATCCTGGCCTTGGAGTCCCCACCTCCTCAATTCCAGGGACCTTCACCACCCTCATGGTAAGCACGTCACTCCCATGTCCACACCCTAGAATTTACTCAATCACCTAGAGCTGCTCTGCCTTTGACAAAGTCTTGAATACCAACTATAAGTCCTGGAGGAGAGAGACTTAAAGACAGCATCAGGGTTGCAAATGCTGTGAAGCTGAGTGTCCAGGGAATAGAGGACGACATCAAAGCTGGAAGGACTGAGAAGCCATCCCACCCAGCCCCCTCATTTGACTGATGACTGCAGCAGAGCCCAGGGAGAGTATCTGTTGCTCTCTGTCGATCAGCTCATTGGAGGCCTGGCCAGAACTCACAGCCTTGATTGGTAGTCCTGGGCTCGTGGGGGGGAGAGGAGGGAGTAGGATGGAGTTACCCCCCACTCCCTTTCAGAACTCTAGGACCTAATAAGATTTCCCCATCAAAGCCTCTGAGCCTTACAAAATATAAGATAGCAGTGGCCGTTCTGGTATCCCCTGAGAACAAAGGTGTGTCCTTAATATCCATTTGGGCTCCCTCTAGTCTGAAATCCCGACTTTTGCTCCATCTGCCATCCCGAGCTTGCAAGTGTCAGGGCTGTAGGGATCCCCATGCAGTCCCACAGGCAGCTGGCTGTTCTCTTCTTGACTTTCCCTCCATCTGCCATCCCGAGCCTGCAAGTGTCAGGGCTGTAGGGATCCCCATGCAGTCCCACAGGCAGCTGGCTGTTCTATTCTGCTGGCCTGGTTATTCTTTCTCGATGTAGAGTGACCACTTACTGTGCCATTGGTGTAGTAATTAGTTCAATGGGCGCTGCAGACTGCTTGAGCCCACAGGTGGAGAGGAGCTGCCTACCCACCGTCAGGGCCCCAGGCTCTGGCAACCGCTCCTCTCCTCTGTGCACAGAACGTAGTGGCGAGGATGGGGACAGTGAGCACGGGGAAGGGGCAGTTAGGAGGCATGGGAGAAAGTCAGATGAGACCCTCTCCTCCAGGGAACTTAGGACCTCAAATAAGGCAGGGTGGGGAAGTGACCTCAGAGAGGAAGAAATGGCTACAAGTGGCCTTTCTAAGGGAACATTGGCAGGACTTTAAGACAAAGCGATGTGTAAAGAGCCAAGAAAGTCCTTATATTGAGTACAGTTAAATGTTAGGAGCTAGAGGGGCAAATTTACCCAATGAGCAGTGATGAGAGAAAGCTTCACGTCCAATCATAGAAGTGTGGGTGTTATGCAATGCTGTGCTTTGTTCCTTCTTTCATTCAGGGTGCCAGCCTTTTCCAGTATTTAATACATATACAATATACATATACATATACATATACATATACATATACATACACATATACATACACATACACATACACACACACACACATACACATACACATATACATATACATACACATACACATGCACACACATACATACACATACACATACACATATACATATACATACACATACACACATACATACACATACACACACATACACATATACATATACATACACATACACATATACATATACATACACATACATACACATACACATACACATATACATATACATACACATACATACACATACACATACACATATACATACACATACACACACATACACACACATACACATATACATACACATACACATACACATATACATATACATACACATACATACACATACACATACACATATACATATACATACACATACATACACATACACATACACATATACATACACATACACACACACATACACATACACACACATATACATATACATACACACACATACACATACACATATACATATACATATAC